CGCCAAAGGTCTGGAATTTTATGAATTTCTATTCCATTTAAATTGGAATACACCAAACAGGTATGGATCTACTTATGACAACGAGAGAACTGTACATGCAGTGGCCAACCCAATTGTACAGAGGAATAATACGAAACTAAGAGGAGAGTGAACAGAAGAAAGAGAGAACTTACATTTTTGGGGACGCGGAGTAGAGACAGAGGAAGCTTACAATTCAAGTACCGGAGGAGATGGGGAAGGTGCGTAAGACGACAGAGACGAATAATTTGTGAGAGAAAGACGAATTGGCGGGATGAAGTTGCCGTGTTCTCCGAGACGTTTCACTTGAGCCGAGGGCGACGATGGACAATAGCTATGAATGTCGCAGAGAAGAAGACGGTTTCTACGGAGATACTGGTGGTTTCTAGGGATTAAGTGGTGGTGTTCGTTTGCGTAGAAGTTACTGGGAATCGTGAAGTAATTGGTGGAGTAGGGTAAGACACGATTTACAGTCATAAACCAATTGAATGATTTAAGAATTTTTTTTGTCAGACGGTGGAATAGCTTGTTAATCGATTCCATCACAAATAGAATAGTTTAAACATACAATTTTTCTATTCCATCTCAAATAAAATAGAAATAAGAGATCTCACGCATATAAATTATCTTACAGATGATGTTAAGAATCGGGGAAACCAAAACCCTAAATCAATTGGCAAACTTTGACCCAAAAATCAGATCCAACATGCAATTGTATCGAGGTTGTAGATTTACCAATTATAATACCTTAATTCGACAATTGCCCAAATAGAAAGGAAAATAAAAAAAAATATGAAGAGATTCAAAGATAAACATCTGAGAACATACTGTAGTTCCAAAGATTTGGAAAGAATCGTTGGAGAAGAAATTTCTATTACTAAACGCCACTGCTACTTTAACGTCGTACGATGTCAGACGATGGCACAAGCAGAGAAAAATAAACGATTGGAATGGGAGTACAAATGAGATGGCAAAAGCTTTTGAAATCAGGCGGAGGCGATGCTGTGGAGATCCAGAAATCGGTGCCGGAGACCTTTCGACTCAAGAAAAGAAGGGGAAGATGTGAAATTGGATAAACCACGATATACTTTTGTGCGTCTTATTATTAATATTTTTTTATTTTTTTAGCAAGTTACACCGGTTAAAGAAAGGGGTATTACAGTATTAATATGTATATATAACGGTGTCTATAGGTCTGTTAGGGTAAATGGTTAGTATGTGAATTATGTTTTTTTCTATGGGTATACGTCCCAATTTCCCAATAAAGAACCCACAGCTTAAATATTCGTTTTCCCCGAAAAAAATATTTTTTGTGCTTGTCCATAAGTACAAAAGAGGGTGACCTATTCCTCACACAATAATTTAAACATAAACAGACAAACAGAAATAAGAAACAAATGACAAAAACCATATACAGACAAACAAAGTCAGTGCCTCTCTTTCCGCTAGAGCATCTCCCAATAATATTTTATATTTAAAATTTGCTAAATTTAAATTTAATATTTGAATGCATTTCTCTCCAAATTTTCAGCTTTGAATTCAACCTCTAAAGTTTTTTTTTCTTAACTGTACCTCTAAAGTTCTTTTCTTTTCTCTAAAGTTCTTTATTTTGCATTATTCACTGTGATCATAATTAGCTTAATTAACAAAACTAAAAACTATCAAACATACATCACATAAATATTACAGAAAATATTACAAGCAATATTAACTACGAAGAAGATAAACAGTTCGGCTTCACCTCCTTCGCCTCGACGAAAACAGTTCGGCTTCTCCTCCATTGTGGATCAATCTGTCCCAGATATTGAATATCTTCTTATCGTTCTCGGTTAAGCAAAATCTCGTTATGGAAAACGTAACGATTCTACAAAAACATTCAAACCATCAACGGAACCATTCAAAAAGACGAAGGACGATGTCGCTGCAAGGTCTGAAGCCATGGCTCTGCAGCTCGAAGAGGTTCCTGACTTCCCTCGCGATTTGTTTGTTTCTCCCCTCTCGAAGATTAGTATTGAATCGCTCTTTCATTTGTTCTCATGAATCGCAATATTTTTTGTTGAATTAGTTAGGTCATGTGGAAATAGTTTTCTAAGAAAGAAAGAGTGCGAGAAGATTCATGAGGAAGTGGACGCTGAGTATGAAGCTGGTGATGAGCATGTTGCTAAGAGGAGTAAAGGTGGAAAACCTAAGAAGAGAATTCATACAGATGCAGATGAATTGGGATCTCTTTTTTACGGTGGTTTAACTGGTAAACGGCCAATATATGCCAATAAGATTACCACTAAGGTATTGAACTATGAACAGTCTTATATGCTTTTGAATTGCTTATCAAGTTCATACCTGCAAACATTAGTTTACATGCTCTGTTGTTTATTTTTGTTGCTTCCATTGAGTTTTAGCTAGTGAATCTCGTTTACATATGTTTCTACGAATCTCCATATGATAAGGCATGTGCATTTAGAACTGTGTAATTTTATATTGATAAGTTCATATAATCTTAGGGAGTTATTGTTTCATGCCCCCTCCGGGCCTCCCTGATGGACAAAATATGGTTAGTTTTTTTTTTAGAATTTTTAACATAAAAACCCCTCAACTAAGGCCTTGATTGGTACCGTAAATGATAAAGCAGTAGTAGTATGCTGCAGAAGCAGAGTGCTACAGAAGCTGTATGCTTTCATTAAAGTTTTTAATAAAGTGATTGGCAGAACATTAGCAGTATACAATTTTAAAATTGTCATAATAGTTAGTAAAATAATATATTATTTTAAAAATAATATATATAATATATATTTATAATGTATAATTTTATTAAAAATAATGAATATTCATTATATAATTATATTTAAAAATTTAAATTTTTTTAAAAATATTAAATTATTTTTGGATATAACATATTACTCATATATAAAATTATAGTTATAATTTAATTAATTATTATTAAATTATAATTATTATTAAATAAATTAATTAATTATATTTTATATATAAATTAATTATAATTTATATATAAATTATTATTATTTATTTATTGGTAGAGCACTAAATTACTCATATATAAAATTATCATAAAAGTTAATATGTAATTTATTTATTAGTGTCTAAATAATATTTTTATATCGATAATATATAAATTATATTATGCTATGTTTGTTATAAAAAATAATGAATGATATATGTAATTATATAAATTATATTATATTTTAATTGTGAAATATATTCTATTAAAAAAATTATAATTTTTATTTTTTAAATATAAATTTATATTTAATTATAAAAATATTTTTTTATATTTTTAAACAAAAATAAATTAAATTATATAAATATTATTAAGTTTTATATTTTCTATATGCAAATGCTCTTCCAAAAGCTCTATATGAGAGCATTTAGCAAATAGCATTTGGAGAGCATTTGCATTTGGTAAA